ACTTACATGGAGCAAGTGATGAAATGTCTGACAGCTGTGGGGTTCGAACCCACGCCCTTTCGGACTGGCGCGTTAAGCCAGCGCGTTAGACCACTCGGCCAAACTGTCGATGGAATTTGGTGTTGACAGTCGACTTGTTTTCATCGTGAGGCTTCAAGGTCAACTCATTTGAGCTGTATGGCTTCGACGTTATCTTCGACGAGTCCCTCCGTGCTTGGCTACTCGAGGTGAACTCAAGTCCGAGCATGAACTTAGACACTCTGCTGGATGAGAGGATCAAAGTTGCACTGATAAGGTACGGGACAAGCATCTTCGGCATCCGCTGGTCTATACCACTCGGCAAACTCATCGTATGGACTTATAATAGCATTCTCTCGTTACTTCAAAACGGAACTGTCTCAGTTCTGGAAGCATTCAATGTTGTCACGCAACAGAGGGGATTCGGAGTTTTGCCGAGTATATGGCTACGATTAAAAGTGTGATTCACGATGTCAATTCCATCGTTTCAAAGTTGATGCAAGACTTGCACTTCAACTCGATTGAACACATACCCAACTTGCGCATGCGTGCATTCACTCTCAGAGACACAATCGGTGTAGTGGACCCCATCCCGTTCGATCGAAGAGCAGTGATGGAGATCCTATCACGGAGACTCAAGCCGCCTACTAGAGAGGGACTTTGTGCCACCAAGCCAGGCCGACGCCCGCCTGGCAAGAGCGTGGGCTTCCACCACTCAGTCACAACTCGGCAAAGGTTCCTTCATGGTAGATGACCACCGAGCAAATAAATTCTGATCTACATGAAATACTCTGCGGAAAGGCCCTGCAAAAAGAGCGGGACGAATGCTTCATTGAAACGGCGTGTATGTAACTTTGAAGTACGAATTAGGTTGCGATAGCTGTTTGCAGATAACTTCGAGCGAATAGCACCAGGAAAGTTGTGGGAGAAAGTACAGTCCATGAAAAATAAAATGTTCATGCCTTCTGATAATTCACCATAGTTTCCTGTTGCGGAATACCGACATGTGTTCCTCTGAAGTTACAGCATGTATGAAATGATGATTGAGCCCAACCTGCTACACTCATTTCCAAAATGCGAACTATGCTATTGCAAGTCCGGCCTCGAGAGAGGCACTTTTGTGTTGCGGGAATTGCTCAAGTCAGATTTCCGCCACGACCCCAGTGATCGTACAAACTCCATGACACTGAAATTTATTCCTCCTGGGAAATTCTAAGCCCACCGATGGGAAAAACTGTGCTTCGCTCACGCCAAGCTTCAGTACTCAAAGTGGCTGTTATCACTATCCGTTATCGTCAAGATGCTCTCTTCCAAACTCACTTTGGAATGCAGCCGTTCGTCCGCAACAGAACCAGAACGCAGCTCCTCGTCCGCGGCAGAACCGGAACGCGGCCCTCCGTCGACAGCAGAACCGAAACGCGGCCCTCCGTCGACAGCAGAACCGGAACGCGGCCCTCCGTCGACAGCAGAACCGGAACGCGGCCCTCCGTCGACAGCAGAACCGGAACGCGGCCCTCCGTCGACAGCAGAACCGGAACGCGGCCCTCCGTCGACAGCAGAACAAGGGAATGCAGCCGCTGCAGCCTGGTTCTGCTGTGCAGCCTCTGGTCCGCAGCAGGACCAGAATCGTC